TCACACTTGAACAGCTTTTTCGAAAGTCCATGGGATTAAAAGTTGATTAATATTGCACTGCTGAAGCCAGGTACACTTTCAAAGTATGCAAAGGGGTGTGTCATAAGTATTAAAGACACGAACAGAAAAGCTGTATGTCTGCCTTTTGATGAAGGTTACCTGGTAGTACCAATGTTGCATGGATTAGAGAGACACCAGTTTACCTGCAAGTACCCTGGTGAGTCATCCTAGGGCGCTGTTCAAGGTACAAGTAAACGAGGAAGACAAAAGAAGAAGGGGGATGATAACATCAGGGAATTGACAAAAAATAGTAACAACACCAGTTGAATTTTGTTATTACTTGTTTGTTGTTTTTAGTAATTTTATTTTGTTTTGCAGGTGTTTCACATTAATTAAAGTGGTAAATGCATAGCAAGATGACTGAAACAGCTTTAAATACATGAGTATGAAGTCAAGAGCATTGCACAACTGCATTGATATTTGTAAAACAAAAGTATTGATCCAGTGTAGACTTTTTGTCATGATCAGTTCCTATTAAGTCTATTGCATACAGGTATGCTTGCATGTTTGTAAATACTCAGTAAATTTGACCTTACATGCGTACACACAAAAATGTCAAATCTTATCTTGCATACTGTAACATTCAGCAAACCTACTTGAGTTTGAAGTAAGCAAACCCATGCGCTACAGATGGAGGTTATTGAGGATAGATAGAATAACTGAGATATATTGTGAGGTTCTATTTCAGCATATGAACTAGGCAACTTGCAGTCGTTCTTATTTTTTGTCATATTAATAATCTTTATTCTATTTTTACAAAGAATGGAAAATGGCAAAATGTCCAATTGAGTTTGAGTGAGTTGGGTATGTATGTATTTCGTTACTCAAAGGAAAATTAGAATACCCAATTGAGATGAACACAAGCGAGTACATACCTCAATGACCAAAAGTTACCTGTAGCTCTGGCAGGTGAAGTCGTTGTCCCGACAAAGACACAAATGTCGGGAAATTATTGTCTTTACCACTCCCAGACAAACCAAATGCATGTAATCCAAAACAAAAGAGGAAATACAAGACACTCAAGCATCTACCAATGGAGTCGCAATAAACTTCATAGGAATTGAGTTTTTACATAAATATTTGTGTAATTTACGCAGATACGCAACTTATCTGTACCTCTGTCACTACAGTCTTAGTAGAGTAGTTTAATATCGCTCTTTCTTGACTATAATCGTAGACTGATGTTGCTAGGTTATTAGTTTCAATATCATCCGGTCGGCTATCTGTGTATAGAATAGTTTTGATATCAAATCCTTTGATGTAGAATATTTGTTTTGTCTTAAATGATTAAAACGAGGACACACACAAAAGTAATGTATATAATGGATCCTCTCTGGAATGGCCACAAGGACAGAAGTCTATCAACAAGGTGAGAGTTCAAGTCGCTACAGCCAAGACGGAATTTGCATAGTTTTATCTGACAATGGCGTGATCCGAAGTTAGCACACTTTTTGAAACTTGGACTCAGAGGTCTATCCTTGTTTATGATACGTTTACACTGTGCAAGTGTTGGGGCGTCTCGGGTAGTACTAGCGAGGGAGTTCCAAATTTTGAACCAAACAGACGGTAGAAAGGAAGTTTAATAGGATGTGGATCTACCCATTATGTTCCGTATATGACTAGAATTCATAATTCGTAAGTAGTCAAATCTGAAATATTCGGAGGAACACAGAGGGATAAGTTTTGTGGAGCCGATCCATCGAACATATTATAAAATATACTCAGTTTATGGAAATATCTTCTTTCCTCTTCCAAGATAGTTATAACTGTTAACAATATCTAAACATTATTCCCAACTGTAAATACATGCTGTGTCCTTGAAATGGACGGAATTCTAAATATACAACCTTCGAGTTTTCTGAATTTATTTTTGATCTATCAATCCCACACCAATCATTCAAAAAATTAAAAGCACATTAAAATCGGCTTCACGTTCCGCTAGCAGAGCAATATCGTCTGCATATGCCAAAGCTGCTATATTGAAATAAGCTATACTTATACCAAGATTGAGGCTTATTAAGCTTATGTAACAAATCACCAACGAAACGATTAAATAACAATGGGGATAGGAGGCATCCTTGTTTTAGCCCACGGTTCACTGCAAAGCAGGAGGTTTTGAATCCATTCACTCGAACACAACACTGAACGTCTTTGTACAGCGACTGTAGAGCAGTTATCTCCAGTTGTCGAGATTCTGTCCATAAACAGTCCCTGTCTATATAGCCATATGCCTTACTAAAAATCATTATAAGCACGAAACGTAGATATTTCCGAAGTTTCCGTGTTTCTAAAATCGACGAATGAGCCTGTACATGATCAATGGTCGACCTCTATTTCCGGAAACTATTCTGAGTCATGAAGCACTTTGATGATTTCAGTCCATACTTGTAGTCTTCTTGTCAGAACACTGCAATACAGCTAATGCGTCGAGGTTGTCAGAGTGATGCCTCGATATAGTGATAGGAAATGTTTTAACTGTACAGATTGTATCGAAAACGTGTGGTTCTGTACTGTTTCCCTGTGATGTATACAATGATATTACAGAAAACCTCTTTTCGTATTGTTATTCTTATGATGCGGACTTTTATGTTTTTAAATATTACAGAGAAGGAAAAGCCTTCTATATTCATAAAGTATTACCAGTTTATGCATTTACTACATTTTATATATGCTTGTAAGTTTTAAGATTTAGTAACGACTACTGTCTCTCATAACTCACACATACTGAGTGGTTCTGTACTTTTACCTATGTTCAATGTATACTCCCCATCAAAAGTTTAGACTCACTAATTTAAATATAGCCACTTACTTCAACTGTTCTAAACTAGATTTTGCAAAATATTCTATACAGTTTAAGGGTACTGTTTACATATGAACTGATGTATTGTAAAACAAATTATAACGTTGAAAAGATTATTCTCATGAGTTCAATAAATGATGAAACTCAGTGAAAATTGGTGAAATCTTAACAAAACTTAACACCAAAACGCAGCTGTTCACATGCACGATATTTGCACATGCTTTTCAGCAATAATCCTCGTGCAATTCATCTGCATAAGGTTTGCAGTTGGTTCCCCAAAGTTAGTGGACAAATTCATCTTCGACGTAACCACATATATATACATAACATATAGTGAGTGCTTTATGCAAGTCTAAACTTTTTATGGGTAGTATATGTGTTTAATAGCATGCTGTACAGAAGTGAGACGTAAAAAACAATTGTGTGTCTGTCTTTCTGTCTGTCTGTATCTCTGTGTAACAGTGGGTACCAGTATGTGAGCGAATCAGTAAAAGTGAGTGAATCAGTAAAAGTGAGTGAATCAGTACCAGTGGGTACCAGTATGTGAGTGAACCAGTAAAATCAAATACATCCAGTGTTATGGTTTATGGCGAAATCGGGAGGTTTCCGCTGTCTATTCACTCATCCATAAATGTTGTCAAATGCCTTCATATAGAATACCGAAAGAATGTTATAATATGATGATCATGTGTGACAATGATGGAAAACAAAACTGGGTTAGGGGGGTGAGACTGCTGCTGTCTAAAATCGGTTTTGGTAATGTATGGTATAGTCAAAACGTTAACTCACGATGCAATTTTATCATGTCAGTGACAAAGATTGAAAAACATCTATATGCAATCATGGACCGAATCCATATCATCATCAAATAAGTGCTTTTACTTTAAACTTTTCAAAACTCATTTCAGTACAGAAGACTACTTAAGTAATATACCTGTTAAAAAAAATTAGGGTAGCGTTGTCTCGTGTCCGTTGTTCATCCAATGGTCTCTTAGTTGCAACTGGCCGTTACACAAACATCAACCGAGATAAAAGAATTTGCAAATTATGTAGCTTAGAATTAATTGAGGATGAATACCACTTTTTACTTGTTTTTTCATTATACTTATCACTTAGAGAAAAATATATCTCAGCTTATTATTATAATTACCCACACTCCACTAAATTTACACTGTTGTTAACAAACCCAAATGTAAAAATACTTAATGATTTATCAATATTTATATATTTCTCACAGGAATATTTGGATTAATGAAAAAAAAAAATAATAATAACTACACAGGGTATGGTTAAATGTAAGTATGTATATGTTCTATGAAGTTTCATATTGTATTAATAATGAACTGTCCTACAGGCCCGTGGCCTTGTGAGTACTGAAATAAAGAATATATATGTGAGTGAATCCATGTTAGTGAGTTCACTCAATGACTTTGATTGACAGTTAGTTCACTCAAATCATACGTAGTGAGTTATTTATGTTTTTACATAAACTTGCATGCTATAAGAATCTTGGAACTGACAGTTTTCATTAACATTTCCACAACTTCAGTAATGGCAAATGCCCAATTAGACTACAAGTTTCTTCCTACTCGGTATAAGGAACCATGTATAAATGTGTATAGAAACGTGAGTTTTGTGCCAATGTGGTCATGAAATAGATATGAAACTGTTCGCTTATGTGATTATATATGTATGTTATGCCATCTATGAATGTTAATAAATGAAAACAAGTATGTATTGTTAGTATTTTTTATTTCTGTGAATATTTTTACATACGATGAAGATAACTAGATCTACCATTTCTGATATGCATGCAACAGTATGACGATCATGACATTTAGTAAACATTGATATTTTCACGCCAATACATTAATCCGACATTTTCATTAATCCGACATTTTCGTTAATCCGACATATTTCTCTGCAACCACAAGTGTCGGATTAACGAGAGTTGACTGTATGTGCATTTTGAACGGGAGGGAAAAGGGAGTATGGATCTCCTGGAGATGCATTCAGAAAGACTGCAGATCAACAGTCTCAACAGTGAACGACATAACAGACCGATCCAGTCCCGGCCGATAAGCCCCGCCCACTTCGTTTTCTTGACGTTAGGGGGGACTCCCACTGACAAATCACAATGCATAGTTCCGACTACCGACCCAAGCTCCGCCCACCTTGGTTACTGTTGCTACGTCCCCCAAGCTTTGGGATGCCGAGCTGTCAAAATGGCGGATACACGATCAGGCACCGTTTGCCTGTTGACAGTTCTCGACACAATATCTGTTGCATTCTTGCCAGATCATCCTACTTTGACGCAGAAATCGCAACAGACAGGCTTACACTATTTCTTCACAGGGTTATATCCATGAGATACGAGTTTATAACCGTGACAACACCTCTGACATTGATGCTATGTGCTGGCGGTCAATGTCGAAGAATCGGAGCCCGCATACCCTCCATTTGAGGATTGACACAAGCGCCGAGAAGATCGTTCACAGCTATTGTTCTTGTAAAGCTGGGTAAGTACGTCATTGATAAGAAGTCAGTAAATCCTCATATAAATCACTTAAAATCAGTGCCTGATAGATTAGAGATTGTCATTTCAATGGCACAGTGACCGATCATTTGTTCTCGTCGGGTTATGACTGGTGTGTTGATTGATTTCTAGTCCTATCGAAGTTTGGCAGCAAAACATGACGAATGTTTACACCTCTGTATTTATTGTACATCGGGTTTACATATACTATCGGCAAAAAGGAAACAGAATATTTATCCATTCAGTAATTTGGCTAAAAAATGAACCGTAAAATTCAATTGTTTAGTTTTCGATCAGCCTCCAAATGTTACGCAGGGCTAGTAATATACTGTTTCAAATATAAACTTATTAATGAAACACCATGCCTAGCACAGAATGTACTATTAATTATAAGTAAAGACTTTAATAAATTACAAGTTAGAATCTACTGAAAATCGAATTTAGATTATTTGTGATTTCACCTATATCATTTATGTTCATTTTGATACACTTAAAAATAAGTATCATGATTTTGGGTTAGATGTTTTTCTTGATACAATGGTATTTCATTTTTATAAAAAAAATCTTTAGATTTCCTTCACTTGAATTCATTTTTGTTTAGATTTGGTGAAAGATGTTCCCACATCATTGACCTTGTGAAGACACTTCAGGGATTGAAGCCTCACAATTTCACGCACATTCATGAAAAACAGAGTTGCACCAGCCTCCAGCAACAGTGGCAGATTCACAGGGGCAACAAGATCATCCCAGTGCCTATCAACCAAGTGATTGTGGCTCAACCTCTTGCCCAGTCTAGAAATAGGAAGCCAATCATTTGTCAAGTTCAGTGACACCAGGTATGGATACTTTTGTCACTTTTGTATTGTAATTGGTGAAAACTGTTTTGCACATAATCACTAAAACAGGTGCAGGTTTAAAGTTGGTCCTAATGGTCTATAAAGTGTATATACGCATTGAACTAAGGATATATTTTTTAATTTTCAGAAACTGTGTGTCAAATGAATATAATGTAGATGAATATTGTTGCAGACTTCCACATATTACCCCACTGCAGTATGTGCTACAGACAGATGCACCCCGGTGACTAAACACTCTGCTCGGAGACGTCTAGCTTGGGATCAGTCTTGTCATATCAGGTAATGTTTTAATCTATTGGGACATGGATCCTGTTCTTCAAAACAGTCAAAACATAACAATCAGTACATCATTTTTTAAGTAACAAGACTAACATTTCATGGAAATGAAATTATGTTTATTTCATAGAGACTAGTATCACATTCATATCACAGGATGCAACAACATCGATCTATTCTTGTACCTGCCTCGTACAGCATCATAAAATCCTGATTGATCAGTTAAAGCTTTATCTGAAATTGAACCTGTAAACAATTCAGAAACAAATGTCAATGAACCACAAGGGGCAAAACATACACGACACTTTAAGGTAGTACTTGACTTATAGTCACTGTATAGCTGAGACTGTAACCCTAAAGCACAGGGTACTTGAGTCTTCAGTTCTGTCCCATCAATAATCATCATGGATGAAGGACATTCCTTTCTAAATTTTGCAGGCATAATTTGAAGGATAGTACTTTTATGTGGCCATATACTTTACTGGCCCATTTTCAAGTTCATGTGTTCAATCCAGGTATTGAATATTACACCACCTGATTGCAATGACAGTCCAAAACGCATAGCGAGGTCTTTTAATCCAAAACTGTGGCACAGTCGACATAGTCAGGAACAAGCAATCTTTAGTAGATAAATTTCTAATGTCACGATGACCTTTTTCATAATTCAAACATGATGCCTGATCACCTGGCAGAAGGAAGGCCAATAACTGAATATGGCAAGAAACCTGACATAAGTAATGTCTGTGTAGTATTTAAACAGGCCCTTTAGTTTCCCTGATCTCACCAAGACACTGGTCACATTAAATCTTTGACATTTCTTAAGTTCCTCCCTCAACTTTACAATTCCCTTGTCTTTTTCCTTTAAAATTTTCTTCATATCCTTGATCTGTTGCCCTTGATCTTCTACCTAGGATCTCAGATCCTGAATTTGGACTGTCTGGTGTTGCTCAAGTGGAGTGATGACTGGAAAATAACAGGCTAATTTGTAATTTGGAATGAAATATATAAAATAATATGTCCGGGCTTAAAGTTATTATTTCTAATGATTTAATTTCTTATTTTCAGATGAAATCACGTGCAGTATCAACTACGTGCGCCCCATCACGTTTCGAAAGTGTCACCTGTACAACTCGATCCTGGGTATGAAGATCTTAATGCCCAGTATCAACTTACAGATCCTGGAAAAGATCTAAGATCTAATCGTCTTACAGCTTCCAACCTCGGAAAGGTTATGAACAGAAAGAAGAAATCTACACTATCTTTCCTCAACAGTCTATTTCCCAAGACTTCTATGCATTCAGTATCTCTTTCCTATGGGAAGAACATTGAAGTACAGGCCAAGAAAAGATATTTAGAACACAAAATCTCAAACCATCTACATGAGAGTGGACTAGTAATCAACAACAATTTCAGTTTCCTTGGAGCCACTCCTGATGGCAAGATATATTGTTGTGAAAAGGAGAACAGAATTATTGAAATTAAATGCCCGAACTCAGCTTGACACTTTACACTTGAAGAAGCATGAGAAAAGATAACAAATTTATTTTGCAGAAGGAGGAAATTGCCATTCTCAAACTATCCAAAAGACATGCTCACTATGCCCAAATTCAGGCACAGTTAATGTTAACGGGGCTGAGTTCTATGAATATGTGGTTGACACCAAAAAGAGAGCGTACATTGAGCGTATTTTTCCCAGACATTGAATACATGACATGTATGCTAGAAAAGCATTCTTTAAAGAACATACCATTTCTTGACATGTAAATTGTACAATAATTGATGGTGTTAACTATCAAGTGCTTTTGGATATTCGTTGTTCACTATCCTATTTCAGGAAAAACAATGTCTCCATCTTGTTATGAAAGACTTTGAAATTAGCTATATAACTTCAAAATGTTTTAAATTGATTATAATGGCCTAATGGTTTTGATTTGCTAATACTATCAGCTTCAACTGAATATGCAATTAAGATTTTGCCTTAAGTGCCATAATTGACTGCCCCCAACTGAGCTTTTCCATGTTATACTTACATGATTCATCGGTCTGTGTACCTTGATTCTCTTCAACAGACACTTCCTGGGGATATTTCTCTGTTTGTTTGAAACAGTTGTCTGAAATAACATTTTTTTTAGAAAAATAGTTATTTGTAGTAAACATGTGGCAATATTGTAAAATCATATTTTTTGTAAATCTAAATAAGGTAAATTCATGAGTAAGTAATTTACCCTTATAGCCAGTTGTCACTTTACTTTGATATAATTTTCTTTATATTCATATATTTTCTTTATATTCATATATTTTCTATATACTCATATATTTTCTATATATTCACCTCCATGTATAGATCTCATTTATTTTGGACAGATTACACAATGGTTTAATCTTCTTGTTTTGTTATTTTAGATTTGTTAGTTTTATTTACAGGTATATTTTGTTATCACACTTGTTTCTGTATAATTTGTTACAGATCAATCGTTTTTACATGCATCAAATTATTTAATAATTTATCATAATTTCACAACTTTGAGGTCAACCATTTCAGGTGTACTTATAATTAAGTTTTGAGTTGTTATTTTTATGCTTTATATTTATATGTTGTTATCGCTCTTGTTTTATAATAACATGGTTATATGTTTTGGGGATGCATGGAATAAGTTGATAATTTTTCTTCATTGTCCAAATTTTGGGATTAAATAAAGTCACCATACACTGACAAGTGAGGACAAAATAAAAAATAGATGAGGTACTATTCTTTTGTTGTGTTGTTTCTTACATACTGATGTTTGTCACATTAACATTAAATCTTTTTAAAATAATTATAGTAAAGTTGGTAGTATGAGCACAAAAAACATCAAAACAACTATTAATAGGCATTGTATTCTTTAAATGTTAAACTGTTACATATAATTCTTTTTTTAAAAAAATATACCTTAGAGATGAATCAGAGGTATCATTCTTTTTTAATAAAAATATACCTTGGAGATGAATCAAGGTATCCAGACGGATCCTCTCTTTTGGTGGTGGCCGGGTTGGGGTCACATTTCCCCCAATAGCAATAGGGTATGGGAACTCTGCTGTTGGTCTTGAAATGCTGTCAAAACAGGACATTGATTATCAAATTCCTCAGAAATTCTAACACTAATCACATATATTTGAAGTGAGCAAAGTCAAAAATTGATTTTTGATAATATAAAATCACAATATCTGCTGGCAGTACCACAATCTGACAATTTGGGCATTTTTCTTATTGATTATATAAAGTCATTGTGAAGTGTCCTACTGAGTTTAGTATTACTTCACTACAGGTTATGATTATGATAAAAAAATATAAAAAATCTAATATAAAAAAATAATAAATATTTACACTACGCAGTCGCACTAGATCTATTGTATGCACGTATCATAATAGATAATTCCAGTATACGTAATATATATAATTCCAGTAGACAGATAACCTCACTGAAATCTTCCCCTTTTGACAATTATTTCACAGGTTAATGAATCAATAATTAAATGTACCTTTGAACACACATATTTGTGTTTGTTGATGTTGTTATTCAGCTGATGATGGGGTCTTCCACAAGCCCGAATCCATCGCAAACACGTTTCCAAACGGAACTTGAGTTTTGGAAAAGGAATGAAAAGTGCATTCCCAAGCCTCTCAGGATATCCCTCATCAGAATCGCAAGTCCCCCATGCACAGCGTTTCCCCATTATCACTAAAAACGGCAAGCTACTTTGCAGGGTCAAATGTCCTGACAACCGAAAGCTTGGGGGACCTAATGGCGCCTTAGCAACAAGCTATCCCGCGGTGACGGAAAGACGCGATCTGATTGGTTGACGGGCGATCGGTCGGAACTATGCATGGCGTCACCGCCGGCGAAACGTTACGTGATTGCGAACGTTGTTGATGAATTCTGCTTGTGATACTTTGGTATCCGTCGTTTGTGAATGTTATTTAAAGAGGCAAGTTATACGTTTGTGATTTTTAATATATTTTAGCTGGCAGATTGCAACTGGCGTGTGAAAATGAGTTATGTGCCCGATGAAAAATCGTCTCGACTAGCTGCTGAGACTGTAGGAAGTGTAATTTCTTTCGAATCAATTAATCTATCTGGCAATTCACCTCCGTCACAGATATTAGCAGGGGAAGGGTAACTGAAGTTTGTTGTTTGGGTTTATAATTTTATAAAACTCGTGAACACAACCACATGTTCATGTTGCAGATCGTTTCGGTATCTATAAATAGATTATCAACACTGCGCGTGGCGCCTTTACTTATCCGTTGGCGTTGTTCAAATTTAGTTCAATAATCTGAAAACATGGGTTTCTATTTTTACTGAATTAAGAGAATGGTAAATAAAAAGCAGAAAATATTTCCCGTCTACTACTTCATGCACCTTATTTGTCTGTATATAATTAATGTAAACAAATCAATCACAGCATAACCTATTTGATCTTATTTGGAAATCTGGAAAAGGTAATTGGGCTTGTAAACAGTATGTTTCCAGACATACCCAGAAGCAAATATTCAACAGCTGATCTGCAGCAATTCTCAGTAAAGTTTCTCTCTTCAAAATCTGTACACCATGATAAAATGACACTGAATATAAGGAAATAATTCTTTTTAATCATCATTTCCATTTTATTTTTCTATATGTACTTTGTTGTGGAATCCTAATTTACATACAAACTTCCACAATACTGGACTCCATGAACTGCCAGCGTTTTATGTACAGGTATGTCACAGCACCAGAACACAAAAAAGATCCAAGATGCAGTCTGCACCTGTACACTAGCTGACCCATCTTCCAGAAATAGGAAACATGTGATGCAAAATCTTGGAACAAAGGATCCACAGTTATCCGAACAATTAACTAGCATTGAAATAGAATGTTACACAAAATACAACTGTAGATCTATTGTTTTTTCATCAGAGATGTTTAACTGCTAACTACTAGTGTAAATAAGGTGCAAAAAATATATCCTATGTTCAAAGCTTTTTGTCAATACAATTACATATTGACATTATTGCTTCTTAATTAAACAATGATAATCTTTGTTTTATTAGATCTGAGACCATATCCTTAGAGGACATAACACTGATTTTGATCTATTTCCTTTTCTGAGATACTTACTGGTGTCCCAAAAATTATAGTAAAGTTGATTCAAAATTTGGTTACAGTCATAACAAAGGTTTAGGAAAACAGACATGAAATTGTCCTGAAGCGTTCACCTCCTACAAACCAGTGTGCAATTTAATATGAAGCTCATTTTCCAAATAACCATCAACAAACCTTGAACAATTTGTCCAAATCCATCATCTTAATAAACACTAGCTCTGGCTCAGTCTTCAAATATTAGTAACCTCCTAAAACACCGTCACGTGAAAAGTCAACTGAGATATTTGTAAGTTATTCTGTTCGAAGACTGGATAATGCCTGACCAGGGTTTGACGAAAACGTAGCCTTTGCTTTTTCAAATTCTCTGGATGTTGAAATAACTTTAATGAGTTATGATACTAGCAATCACTTTCATAATTATCCTATTAGTAAATGTAGTATTTAAAAAAACATCTAAAAGCAGGAGCCAAGAAACTAAGTTAATACCAAGTGATTGTCCTGCCATGATATGTATGGTGTTTGTTTGCCTAGTTCTGCCTTAAAATCATAAGAATGTCAATCGATTAATAATTATTTATTATTGATTATATTATTATTAATTTTATTACCCTTCCACGTTTACTAAAAAAAGCAAGATTCTTAAAACATACCTTGCTATCATTTCCAGTGAATTAATCAAAATAACAGTTGTAATATTACTCCTAAAATGTACCAATATATGTGAATAATTTATGTGGTAACAAAACTTCAAATAATGTTCTCATAATTAAGATATACACTTTATTTCACTCCGTCCAATACTCACGAAAGTCACTATTCTTCTCACATAGTTTTCGTATTCGATCAACATGGAGGAAGGTATATTCAATTCTAAGTCCCATGCAACTCTTTACAAAAAATCTGAAATATTTAAAGCATGGTTTTATAGGCACTCATATGAACTAATTTTGGTACTTGGATATTGCATGATAGGCAAC